CTCTTTTCATACCCCTCGTCCCTCTCATCCTCATCTTTGCCATATTTCCTTTTTTTTTTACTCTTGGCGTTTCCCTATTTACTCTGCCTCGGTAATTTGTCAATTCCGTGCCCGTTACCCGGAAAAAATTCATTAAACATCAAGAACGACCGAAGCAGGGCAAAATGTCGAGCTGCAGTCTCCTTCTTCCTATTGGACACGTTTCATTCCAGATAGACGATATCGCTCAAGCCCTGGGAAACCCTTCGCGACTTCTGACCAGTAATTACGGCTCAGTAATTTTTCATCAAGCCTAGTCACGCTCCTCTCGTTCCACAGTTCTCCTGACCATTCCACTACTTTTTTTCATCGTTCATTCTCACGCACCCCACGCCTATAACGTTCGCTACTCTTTCGACACTTCATGGAAATTTCGGGGTTCGCCAAGCCACCACAAGAGCCACCACGAAGTTTCACTCTCGGAATAGCTTGTTCCATAGATTCCTAGAGATTCCCTGGGTGTTTCGCGTTCTCAAAATTGTTCAAAAAAAAAATAAAATAAAATAAAGTAAAACAGAACGTACAAGACGCGCTGAGTTTCTCTCGTGGAATAAACAGGAAAAGTCTCGCCGTAGAAGTATAGAACGGGCTATAAAAGACTGCAGCAAAGTGCAGCATGAAGACGAATGGTTAACCGATAGCCTCGGCTAGACAAACTAGACCGTGACATGCAAGCACTCTGTTAACAGTGCACTCTACAGTTTGCTATTTTATATGGACCTCAAATAATCGACACATTTTTACGTCCTTATGCCGCTCGACGCTTTGCGTATTGTCGAGTCAGAATTCTATGGCACATTTTTACAAAGATAAATTATCCAAGATTCTTCATCTGTGCATAACGAAGAAAGAAATTTTTAACATCCACCTGGGACATCTGAACTCATCGAAAAGATTACCGAGTCCGGTGCTACACGCAATGCTGCTTAAGTAGTGATCTTTAATTAAACAGCAGTCATTAGCGACAGTATTAAATGCATGAGGCTGCTCGAGTACCCGATCGAATGTATTTTCATGCTACAGGAATTACATTGCCAGTCAATAATAATGAATGCAATGCCAGGCGGTTTCTCACCTGATGGGCATTAACCACATAATTAAAATTCATAAATTACGTGTATAAACAGCTAAGCTTCATTAGAGACTCATTCAATCTATTGCATAGCGTTTACGGCTCCGCGATTCCTCATTGCGTATGCACGGACGCAATCATTCGTGACGATGAGCTGAATTTCAATTTTGATATTTATTTTTCCAGTTATTTTATGAGCTTTTACTGCTTCACACCTTTCTTACCGTATTAACATCGCAGGCTCTCTTTTACAATTTCCTTGCAGTTTCTGTCTCCTAGTGACTGGACGGTTATTTTCGAAGGAACGTGTGTTTTTCATCGCAGGCTTTGGGGTTTTCTTCAATTTGGTTTTTTTTTTCACTTTTCATATTTTGCCAGGGCACGCCTAGACCGGTTTGAACGTTATTCAACTTTCAGTTCGAAAATACTGAACTGCCTGTAACGCTTCTCACGTAACTCGGCGACCATTCGTTAATTATTGTTCGTTAAAAATTGTTGTAAAAAAAAACTGCTAGCGCAAATTTTTAGGACGTTTCTAATTAATCTGGATTCAATCCTCGCTCACCCATCAGTTTGTTAATTGCTGCGGGGGTCAATGAAACGTCTCTCAAAGGTCTCTCAAATATTACCTTAATAATTCCATGCTCCAAGTTATTCTGTGGCAGTCGGCGGGAGTTTTTTCGACACTGCGTCATTCTATTAGAGCCAAACATATTTTTTTACGAATTTGTCTTCAAAAATGTGCTTTCTGTCGTAATAGGCCGTGTGAACCTTCTAGTCTCACTGGTCAAGCTAAAATCCTGAACATTGAATAGCTTGCTTTTTCACAGCTGCCTTAAAGTTTATTCATACTTGACGCTGACGGAATTTTGACATTTCGTTGAGAACACTAAAAATCAAGAAATCAGTAAACTCTTCGGGATATTAACAACCCATTTACGGCCCTACAGACTTTGATCGGTAGAGACTGTTCCATTCAATGGTGTAACAAGCTGGTACGTGGAAAAAGTTGAAACCTGAAGCTTCGAACGTATCGAGCAGGAAAAGGCATTGCAACGTCTAAAGCAGATTGTCGGGCGAACCATGAAGAATCGGAGAGACAAATTTACCAGGAGAAGAACTATTGCAATAGTTCCAGACAGACGTAGTTGCAATCATTGAGACTGAGTATACCTGTATACGTACAAATCGTAAACCTATATTCTGTCCCTTCTACTTTTCCGTTATTCACCCGGAGGACTCTCGCACTATAGGTACGAAGCTTTATCTGATTATCGGAACATCGATTTCTCACTCGAGAAATTACAAAACATCCGCTGAATTTGACGAGAGGACAGCTCGAGGGACTGTCCTATAGATAAAAGCCTACATATTAAAAAAAAAGCATTACTCACCAGAGAGACTTGATAACCCTGGAGTATGATACGTCGGCCAAGCTTCGTCTCGAAAATTCTATCCCACCTATTTTGTCAAACGGTCATAGACGTAAAGCTGAACAAGAAAATAATTTTGAAAATACCATCAAACCAAGCAATTAATAAGCAACAGGTTGCTTTTTAGATTCGCTTTTTCTTAAATTAAGTTCCACTAATATTCCATACATTAGGACTGATAGTGAAATCTCAGTTCTGGTTTGGCCACCTTAAACGTTTCACGTGCATCGAACATCACGGTTGCTCAGGGCACAAAGCTACGTAGATGCGCTTAATACGATAGGGGTTTGCCCCTGGTGGTAGGTACCGCAAGCTCGCGTTAGGCTTCGATTATTCAAGCATGAAATCTCTTCTGGAGTACAGCTGTAATTATCGGGGAACGAGGGAACCATGAGAGGATCAACAATACCCTAATGGTTCAAACACCAAGGGGGGTATAGTAGCTATACATGTCGATCGAGTGAAGCTCCCTGTAAAAGAAAAACATGAAGGGATTTAAAACAAATTGGTGAATATAGGTGAGTGACTGTAGCTACCAAGGAATGGCGCATGGACCAAGAAGGGCAGAATAGCGGAAGGGAGTTTCATTGGGGATGAGATTGGGCGAGATCCCAAGGGAAGAAAAATACTCTCTCACTGACCCCGTGGGTTACCCTGACGTTACAAGATGGACAGTCCTCTCACGAAAGTAGCGGAGAGTAACTCGCGAATTAGATTCGGATGCTGGGTACCTAATTAGGATTGATCGAACTTTCATATATTTCCTTCGATGAACACTATTTTTGCATTATCGAAGGCCCTCTCGCTTATAGCGAGAATCGGGCTGCTCAGGTTGTTGAGTTATTGACAATAGAAATCCTGCTTCTAAATCAATCGAACCGAGTCGGAAGTTACAGATCACGAAAGAAACGATTTTCAAGCAGGACAAGATGTGTGCGTAAAGCATTGACAAGGATCCCGCATGCACCTAGAACGTGACAGGATTCTCATAAATCATTTGCATAGGACAACATATTGCCATGCAAAGAGTATACGGGGTAGAGAAGCCATAGTGAGGCGAGGAAGCGAGACACCAGGGTGGAAACCTTCGCCCAGCAACTATGGCAGTTTACATAGCGTGCATATCATAAATTATGGAAACATAACCGGCCAGAGATATAATATGCTGTGTACGGAATCTGCTACAACCTGGCACAACCAACGGAATCTATCCCCGACTGCTCCTACAGCGGAAGAGCTTTCGTACTTGCAGCACCACCACCTCCACTACTGTAGCCGATAGCAGTATCAGTTGTTCGACTCCGTTAACGATACTCTAACAGGATACACAGCGGTCGGAGATAGTCGGTGCTCGCAATGACAAGGTGCATCCTTATCCAACTCGGAGTGTCCTTCGAAGAGAGACGAAGCTAAAGAGAGAAAGAGAGCAAAGCGAAGAGACGAATCCGAACGGGAGTGTGCTGATGTACGACCTGCCATTTACTTCCGTCAAGAATCCCAAAATCTTCGACCCGGTGTACCCAAGAGTCATGAATTCGTAATCCCATGAATTCCCCCCATTTCCTCGATTGGCCAACTCGACAGCTTGTCCTCTTCTTGACGCAGCCCTCGCGCGCCAGATGACGTTTGTGGCCACTTAAATTCCGACCACTATTAGTTAGTGGAATGACGAATCCCCAAGCAATCCCCAGATCAGATGCTACTCGTGACGACGTCACTGAATCGAACCAATAAAACAGAAAGGACAATTTTATGGAGACAAGTGACGGGCGTACGTATACATATATGCACCTAGGTAGTTTATTTTCCCGAGCGTCGATTGTCTCTGCTCTAGCGAATTACTCGACGCTCGTAAAATCTTATCGTAAACTTTATCGTTCACCGATTTCGTGTAGGTCATCTGCCTACTCTTTTTCTCTGTCCTTTTGATCCTGCCTCATATACTTCGGCTCTCTCGCGAGATCAAATCGGATGCTGCGTCTCTCTCTCTCTCTCGAGAGAGAGAGAGAGAGATCTCCTGGAATATTTTACTGACATATTACATTCGCAGTAAACTATTCCAGATAACGGTACAGAGAGTCTATGGGTTTTAATATAACGCGGGGAAGGTTTATAAAGTGGACGAATGTTTACACGCTGCTAACCCACCCGTTATAATTATCACGCTGGAGGCTCGGTTTCGTTTCTACGTAGTTCCTAGCACACTAACTTTTGGATAATATGCAAAGCAACCCTATTAATTCCTCGGCAAGGGACGCCGAGAGGCGCACGCTGGATTATACTTTACACGGGACGCAACCCTTTATCCCTCTATGAATCTGGTGGCAAGGATGGCCGTCTTTCGATTTCTCTTGGAGTTATATGTATATTTTTCAATTATCTCCGGAGAACACATACTCCCCCTGTCTTGTTCGATTAATTTTACTTTTTCTCTTGTTCTATTTCTTTTTTCCCAGATGACCTTGCAAGTGTCCTGGGTTAGGCACAGAGACGTTCACCTGCTGACTATCGGCCGTTACACCTACACCAGCGATCAACGGTTTCGGGCCATTCATCAGGTTCATTCGGACGATTGGTTACTGCAAATAAAGTATCCACAGCATCGGGACAGTGGGATATACGAGTGTCAGGTCTCCACGACTCCTCACATGAGCCATTTTGTACATCTTAACGTCGTCGGTGAGTTTCTCTTTTGGTCTTTACACGACGTATCTATTAGTCGATAAGTATGGAAAACTCTCCGGGTCGACCTAGACGGAAGACGCCGCACGACGTAGCACCGTCTCGAAGACGATGTCTGACGTTAATGCGAAACGCTCATTGACAACAAGTTATTTCCTATATCGATTTTCAAACCTCCGTATGAATTGATCCAGGCGTTCCCTGTTCCCGGATAGCGGCTAGACCTGAATAACCGGGTGCTCTTATAGATAGGCAACCCTAACTGATAACCCGGTGATCCGAAGTCGGGCAAACCGGCCTATAACTTAATCGAAAAAGTACGTTCGTCAGGTTCTAGGACGTGCAACAGTCAACTTGAAGCTAAAGTACACCTCTCAAATGCACATGCCACATACAATTACTGGTACCTCATGACATGTATAATTTGCCTATATTCTCATGGCACTAATCATGCGGAGTCTAACAGCCATGGTCAAGGGGGGACTATTCTTCCAGGCTAACCCGATCAGGATCTGCCTCAGATTTCCAGTCAGAGTCTAGATAGGATTTCTGACCGGCTGTGTATAGCATGACGTGCCAGCCCAGCTCTCGGACAGATTTCATAATTAGCGCGCGGCTTACAGCAGGGACCGCTGACCAGGAATCCTCCCAGCCTCCCAGTTACAATTTCTACCATTAAGACCGATTAGACAAAATTACTCGCTAGCCCTCCAAAGGTTTATCGTTGCTGTGCAAAAGTTTTACAACATCAGGATAAATTGAGTTATCAGCCATTGAAAGCAACTGTTTAAGCAGTGGATATGTTTCAGTGAGGAATTAACAAAAATAGAATTTGCCGAGGAAATAATTCTTGTGGAAAGAAACAGAAACGATGTAACTACGAATACACTTCTTCTTTCTATTTTTATTGTATTTACGGAAGATACCTGTACAGCCAAAGGATTTTCCTCCAGGCACGTTCTTACCGACTGCCTCCACTTTCCCCCGATACCAAATTCAAATGTTCTCCTTTCGTCGATACCGACCCTAAGGTTCTTACTTTAATTCTTTACATGGTTATCGAGCTTTCATTCATATTAGCTATTTGCTATACTATATGATCAAGAGGTGAAATATGAGACTTTCGAACGTTACCGTTTGTTCGACTTTAGCGAGCAAATCTAAAAATGCTTGAAAAATGTCGAAAGAAGTCTACAAGCTAATATCAACTTGCACTTTAATAGAAATAGTCAAATGATTTTGGATAAGTCAATATATCAAATCATGTTTGCAAGGTTGGATGGTTTCTGAGGCGTATTCCAAACTTCGGAGAAGCAAACTCTCGGCAAATATTTTCATTCCTTCGTCAATTCACTTACTCATTCGTAATTGTATTCACGTCGCTTTAGGCTCACGCGTACATGAGCACACTTACTGTGTTGCAATTTCTCTTAAAAAAAATCATCTCGACATTTTTTTTTCTTTTTTTGCATCTCCCTTAATTGCTTTAGTTGTTCAAAGAGACTTTCTTCTGAAGAAAAACCCGTACCAATCTTTTCCCGATTACTTGATTTCAAAAAGTTTTCAATGCCTATTCAACTTCTTTTTTACAATTTTTTGTCCAAAAGTACTTAAAGACCTTCTCGAAGGTTTCACATGGAATCGTTAAAAATATAAATATCTTTACTTCAATATCTTATACTTATATTTGTTTGGTCGTTCTCAAAGGTAGGATAGAATGTAACGCGCCTGTAGAATTTAAGGGCGGCATTAGCACAGAGAAGCCAACGAGTAAAAGTACGACGAGTAAGGGGACGAAAATTCTATGCATGTCTCCCACTCGAATCTGCCTCTGTGAAATAAGAAGCCACTTTTCGAGAAGAGTCCTTAAGTTGCAGTCCTGAGGTGTCTGAACGGTGGATGGATGGATGCTGGATAATTTTCAACAAGGGCAAAAAGGAGTGCCCTGAAAATGCCTCTGCTTCCCTACCACTCAGTTAGCTACGTATCCAAGGGTTGAAGCCATTCCCGATCTGGTCATCCCTCGCGACACACGTTCCACTCATTTCGTCATTGAGAAGAGATTGGGAAAATGCTATACAGAGCAAACGACGAAGGAGTAAATGGGGCAATGCAATCGAACGTGTAATTACGTACGATCGATTGACATTAAACGAGATATTGAATAGCGCACGTTTATTGCCTCGCGGATGAGCAGCAAAATGAAGATTCGAGGACAGGGTGTGCATGAAGAATTTTAAAAGGACTATATAAGGGAAATAGAGAAATGTAGAACCGCAAAAGTAGGCGAAGTCGTTACCAAGAAGTAATGACTCGAATGAAATGGCTTCGACCTTTATTAACGCGTAAAATGTGATTGGTGAGAGCATAACCTAGGCCTAGCACGCTCCTACGCGCTCCCCTCATATTTCATTTCGCACTCGTAAAAGTAGTAAAGCTTTTTCCTTCTTTTTTTGTTTACAAATTTGAAATATTCATGCATACTGCTTTGTCGCTCTCTGCTTCTATCCATACGTCTCTCTCTCTCTCTCTCTCTCTCTCTCCGTTGCTCCTGTAACGTTACTCTCCATGCGGCACAGAGCTGCTCTCTAACCCATTGAAAATTTACGAGGCCGTTAAACTCGTAATAGCATGCTATACCTGAAAGAATCACTCGGACCAATATTCAAATGCAATGGGCGTAAATGAAATAACCTAACAAGAGGATTGTCATTCGAACGAAGCCAGGAGGACGCTTGGGCGCAATTGGGTCGACAATGAAAAATTGGAAGACATAATACAGAGCTATGGAGGAAACGCCTAAGGAGGGCCATTGACTTTCAAAGGAAAGGCTAGAATTTTTCCGGGTACAGGTTTCTCATAAAAACGTGGATGAGAATTTAAGTCCCTAGCGATTCTCCCGAGGTGTCTTTCACACTCGTAAGAGACAAGAAGAAGAAGAAGAAGAAGAAGAAGAAGTCGAAGTCGAGGAGGAGCAGCAGGAGGGGGCAGGAGATGAAGCCAGGGAGAAAGAAGTGGTCGCGATGCTCCTAGGGGTTGCTCGAGAGTCTACTCGTCCGCAGGAAATTGGCACGACCCGGTATGACGTTGGTCTAACATGGCTGCTACCGCGACAAAACTCCCAAAGCGAAAAAGGGTCTCTCCCGTCTTTACCAAACTTTAAAACAACTTACTCGAACGCAGTGAGATTATCTTGGCGAGAATGTTTCTGGGTGGTCGCCACCTGGACCCGATGAACGCAGTACGTGAACCTGGTACCGATTATCCTCGCAGTCTCTTCCTCCCTTTCATATTCTTCGAGAGACGTAACACTTAGCTGGCGATTTGGGCCGTGTACGCGCAAGGCTGAACACAGCCCATTCCATACCCAGAACAGAGCATTACCCTGCGATCCATATGACAGAAGCGCGCCAGCGAAATGCAACGGGCTTCCTCTTGTGTTCATGAGGATATTGCGAGACACTGTCCTTTGCAGGCGGGGAAACGGTATTGTCTTTGACATAACACGGGAATCAGGATACCCGGAAGTCCTCAGTGTGTCGTTTCCAATAGTTGTATTGTTTTTAATTGCAATTCCAATTGTACGCGAACTCGTGATAAGAGCTTGCGAATATATTGCCAGCTCAACAGTGCTCTACGTGTCTCGAGTTATTTTTTGAAGTTTTAATCCAACCGTGCGACGCTCGCAACCGTACACGTTCGCTTTTCACTTCCTAGATTGCATTCGCGTACTTTAATCCCCTGATTTAAAGGACAGGTTAAAACCGCTGTTTCGTCCTGAAACCATCGCAGGTTCAGCGGTTGAATCCCATAAAACTCCATTTTACTAGAGGGCTGTGGTGCTTCCGTGGTGATTTTTAACGTGTAAGGAAATTAATCACGTTCTCGGTAACTTTCATACGTATATACACTACTGCGATGGCTCTTCCCAAGAGATCCTACCTACACGTTAGGAAAAATATTTCAATGTCATTTTTGCAAATTTCTTAAACGCTAGAAAAATCCTGAACTCTCCGTAATCTGCACTGCCACAATAATACCTTGAAATTTCGTATACTTGGTTACAAGATTGGCCTCAACTAACGGGGTAGGGATTGTCCGTGGCTGCTCCCTTGGCTCTAACTCAAATCGCTATTGCCCGACATCACGCCATCTTTATTACTGCCGCACTTTGCTCGCGGCTTAGGGCAAGACACATTTCCATGCTTAAAATACTTTCTCGATTGCTCCCTTTAGATATTAACAAAAACGTCATTTGGGATACTTGACGATTCTCGTTCGCTGTGATTCTAATTGGACTTGAAATATGAATATTCGGAAAATTGTATTCTGACATGAATAGGAGAAAGGATCGATCGCGATTTCGTGACTCAATTAGTATTTTCTTTCTAATCATTTTTATTAGACTTTTCCATTCTTACATGAAAAAAAAAGCTATTTGAACTCCGCAACGGAGGTGAATAAACCATAAATGAAGTAATGCTTGCAAGCTGAACGCGGATTTTGTTTTTAATGAACCGTTTGCTAAGCGTGCCATGGTATATCCATTAATTAATATGGTAACAAAAAAGGAAAGAGGCAGGACTCCCCGTAATACAGCGATATTAAATTTGTTCTCATAACTCGGCTCGCTCAGCCGAGTGAGATGTGAATATTAGTGGCTCCCAAGATAAAGTCTTAATTCTTTTTTTTTTCCCCAAAGAAAATCCAAATGTTCAAAACTCTCAGGAAGCATCACGAGGCTTTTATTTAACCCTCTTCTCTTGAATTTTTACCTTAGCTCGGATCTGTAACATTCTTTACATTCCTCCGGGCATTCCACCTCCTCGAGACAAACAGGCTCTCCATTTCCAACGGCCGCAGGAATCTCTCAGGCTTTCAGGACGAATTTATTTATTGGTCTCCTCAGACATAAGTACATGATAAAAGAGCCGCTAGAGATCCGCAGGTACATGGACGAACAGTCATACATGTCTTCAGGAAGACGACAGGATCGT